CTGTTGATGCTACTGGTTGTTGGAATTGTTGGGTTGAGCCCATTTATTATTACATATTTTTAAATAATTACTAAGGGAAAATCCTAAAGGCTCATATGGCCCATTCATCCATGACAAGTGAGTGTGTAAAGTTTAGGCCCACCCTGGTTGTGGAGGGTGTGTCAGACCAACATAGTATAAGGTAGGCTTCGTTGCTTGCCTCGACATGCCATGCCACGTATCCTCATGGTGGACTGTTCCTCACTGTCTCCTTGGAACGTTTTTGTACTGGTGGAAAATAATACCTAATAGTTGTAGACTGTTCCCTTTTGTCTCCTCGTGTTTCAATTTCTCTTCTCAAGGTCTATTAGAGGTCTCTCACCCTCCATAGATAGATGCATGCCAATTCATCTCCTACGTATTTGCCTCCCAGTTCTAGATCTTTACACTGCCTACATCTTTCCCACTCCGCTTCAAGGTGTGCACCGCGAAATGGAACAATAGGCTTTCGGGGCCATCTAGCAGAATAAAACCTCCCACCCCATGAGGGGCTTTAAGGATTTTTGGGAGCGCTCTCGTGCGACTATTGGATCTTTCTTTATCGTGGATGTGCATGACGCCTACCCCAACGATGATTACTTCTGTAACCTCGATAACGTCCTCGTTGAGATGGCGACTGATGCACCCGGCTCTTCTTCCACCGCACTGTACGTGTTATTCCCACTTCTGATAGAAATTGCGTTAGGTCCACTACTAGTAACAATCGATATGTGTATTGTCCTTTTATGTACCCGAGTGATGATTAGTTTCATCACTTTGCTACTTGATGATTCTGTTATCATGTCCATTACGGTTATCATGGTTTATCTACCTTTTTCTGTACTAAGCTTAATGGGGCATTGCTTAATTATTTAACACTTCCTGCATGCAGCACTACCATTGCAAAGAGTAGGAAGAATAGGGCCAGTAACTTTATGCCAATATGAGAAATCCGAAGCACCTACCCACGACACCTATACAACCGAACACACTCAGGAGTCAGGACAAGGCCCCATGGCCCCCCTCCATCATCACTGTCGGAGCAGCCAACGGAGGTGACGGAACTCCTGTAATGAGGCGCCTGCTCCCTCCTCTCGCTAGATCTCTTCTGTGCAACTAGGGTTGAAGGGTTGGGGGCGTGCCTATTTTTTATAACTATTTTTCTCTAAACACGCACGTGCGCAGGAACGCCCGCCCGCCTATGAGGCTGAACTTCTACAACTTCTAACCTATAACACAAATCAATTACTTTCCTAATCTAATCACACGGCAAAACAAAAATAGATGCTAGTTGATTGGAGAGGGGCCAACAACATTGGTTAAGACTTGTGCAAAATTATCTCGCAGAGGTCGAATATATGACATTTACATGGGAAAAGTGACTAAACCTTTAGAACATGTATGACTTTGAGAATTATTGTAGTAAAAATTCCATCAAGATTCATAAGTTCTAAACTTTGTGCAACAAACCCCACATAAAAACTACTCCCTCCATCTCATAATATAAGAACGTTTTTAACACTAGTGTAATGTTGAGAACATTCTTATATTTTGGGACAGAGGGAGTATCTTTTTTTGTCAGTCGAATAAAAATTATCATAAGATTAATTAACCACAAGGACCTTGAACCTTATATTTATGATGATACAAAACAAATTGTTGCATGATCATTCACTTGATTTTCATGCCAATAGAGTTGTTGGTTCAGAACAGAGATGGTTCAACTAACTGCAAGGACCTTGAACCCTCTAGTCCACATAGAGGAGACACAACAAGTGACTAACATCACTGGATCTATAAGTGAACATATGAGATGCCACTTATAATCAAACTTAAACCAAACCAGCAGCTTGTGAGAGGCTTGCTGTTTATCAAAGCACCCTATATTTCATAAAATTGTCACTGTTATGTTTTTTTCTCTCTCAAGGGCATGGCAAATTAAAGTGCTTAGGCCTTGGGAAGGCCATTCTCTGTTGTAGTCGCACTGGAACAGTCATCGCGTGAAGGCCATGGCGCACCAGCCATTACCGCTTCGATTTCCCAGGTCTCTCGGGGGCAGCTTGTCAGGTTCTTGCATCCTTGCGCCGTCACATACTGCAATCATACACTGCGTTATTACTGTGGCAATGAAGAACAACAGGTAAAGGTAAATGCAATGTGGATGCTACAGAAATTAATGTTGAGCTTGGCTCATGTAACTTTTGATAAAGAGAACATCTGCATTAGAATTGGGTGTTTGCGGTACAATTCATTTACGTGGAAATCGATAATGTGGAATCTATACTAACTTCTATAAAATCCTTCTGTATCACTATGAGCATAAAATAGATGTGAAGTTGAGTTTAGCTCCTGTAACTTTTACTCGAGAAAGAGAACTAGTAGTTAACATATCTGCATTAGAATAGGGGTTGTTTGCAGTGCATTTTGATTTACTTGGAAACCAACAATGAAGATGACCAATTACACCCTTCCTCTACAACGACGCAATATCAAGACCAAAATTGTGACATCGTGGAAGCACACAACCAAAAGTATTAAAAATAATAAGAAGGAAAAACAAAGAGAGTTGATG